CAAGACCGTAAGTTGCAGCTGCATTGAAAGAGACTACACCTTGATATAACTGACCTTGATTTGATAGCTCTTGGGACAATGGCTGTGGGCTGCTTGATCTAGGCAAATCATTTAATAGACTGCTCTCTACTGAAAGAAGATATGTGGAAACCTTTTTAGAGAAAATTCCCAAATGCACGGTTGACATATTTTTCATATTTTGCACCTTGGTAATAACTCACTGACCTCTTGGGTGATGCTAGAAGATCTATAAATTGTTTTTCAATCCATATACTTTCATTATAACCCATAAATAGATTCGCTAAAACAGGGGCTAAAGGTGACTCCATCCACTTGATCATAAAAAACAACCTTCAAACAAAAAATGTGTTTGGCAGGTAGTGAAAGAAAAGAGCTTCTATCACTTTTCAAGTTCATTTTAAGGTTAGGGTTGTTATCCAATATGATTTTAACAGCAAGGTTTCAGTAAAAGGAATGCTCTTTTCTTTCACTACCTGCCAAACACATTTTTTTGTTTCAAGGTTATTTTTATTGCAAGTGGATGGAGTCACCATGGCTTCACCTTTGGCCCCTGTTTTAGCAAAACTATTTATGGGCTATAATGAAAGTATTATTATGGATTGAAAACTATAGATCTTCTAGCAATCTTGTTTTATCATAGGTATGTCGATGATATTTTTTGTGTTTTCATGCAATAATGAAAACGATGCAATGAATTTCTATAACTATCTTAACAATCAATATCGTAACATTAAATTTACTTTTGAAAAGGATAACAACTGTCAACTGATAACAACAAATCACCTCTAATAACAATTGTATAAAATCTATCTACCCTAAAAAGACTAATTATACTGGCTTGCTTACTAATTTTACTTAAGTTTGATCACTTCCTTTTCTTATAAAATAGGTCTAATATGTTGCTTATAATAGATCGTGCTTTTAAAAATAACAACACTAAAACAGCTGTTTTAACAAAGACTTGGAGGAGATCAAAACTATAATTCTTAAACGTATTCATGTTTCCTTCTTCTTTAATTGATAAAGTAACCAAAGCCTATCTTGGCAAACCACACAAATCTCAACATGATAACAAATGTTAATTACTAACTTTGAAACTAATCATATGAGGAAGTGGCTGATCCCATTAAAGAGTGCTCAATACACATAGAGTGTAGAGCTAGTTATATATATGATATCAAAGAGGCATTAAGATTTTGCTGTAAATCCGAGTTTCGTACTACGCACTCATCAGTTCTATATGTCTGATATAGAACTGATTAATAAAACATCAGTGCTTTATTGTATATAAAGGCCCATCATGTAACCCAATAGTTCGATGCTCATTGGACTAATAGCTCATRAATTATTAATGAGTTCTAGAATAAACCTTAAAGTTACACAATTCTTTTAAAATACAGTTAGTTTAACTAACCTATCATGGGGACATACATGCATGGGGGGTTAGCTTGTCTTTCAATTCTCTGCTTTAGCTTTTCTTTTGCTCTTGTAATAAGTGACAGATCTTTCTTTATCTTCTTTTGCTTTTGGCATGACAGGTCTGAGGAATCCCGGTTTTGTATTTGCATTAATTGACGATTCATTTCTTCAWGGTTTTGTTGCATAACTGACAGAATTTGCTTTGTAGTCTCTTGGCGTTTCCACTGATCCCGCTTTAGCTCTAACAACATTTCCTCTTGTATTATTTGCGACTGCTCCTGCCTGTGATGCACATTGTACAAATCTGTCTTCATGGCATCAAGATTGCTCTTTACTTTAAATAAAAAGGAATGAGGTGTGAGATTATTCATAATTAATTTGTCAAGATAATGGTTAATAGCTATAAATATTTAATTTCTTTACAAATAAATTAGACTGTAGATTTAACGAAATAATCTGACTCCCTGTCCCATTACTTGACAATTTTTCTCCCTCATCCCACATCAATATTGCAAGAAGGGGTTAACGAATGGACAGGAAATGAAAAGAAAGCCACATAACATTGTATTGTGGGGAAGAGTGTGCCTCTAGCAAAAGAAGGTTTTAACAACCATATATAGTCTGAAAAATGTTGTGTGATGAACGACCTAATTGAAGAAACGTTGTCGGGTCCAAAAAGATCAAATCATAGAAGCTAAGACTGAAAGGGTACTTGGGAAGACAAACAATTTGGCTAATTTCATAGCAAACAGCTCTTCAGCATAAAAGAAGTCATGCTGTTAATCTTACTATAGCTCTACTTGCTTAGTTTTACACCGTATATGCAAATGTAATCCCAATTTTGTGGTACTCAAAGTCCCTTTCGGTCTTAGCTTCTATGATGTGACCTTTTTGAACATGACTACCTTTTTTCAATTAGGTGTATATAGTCAACATTATTTTGATGTCCAACATTGTAGACACAAGATCAATATTGGTGTAATTATTTTTTTGTTGTGTATTACATTTGATGTAGAAAAAACATTCAAATGACAGTAATTGTGGTTCATGGCACGTTTTTCTTACTTGTATCAATTCCTTGCAAAATTTCTGCATCTTGTGATGTACACACTTTTACCATTGACAGTACTTTAATCCATGGCTGCTGCACATCTTTATTTACAAAAAATGTTATACACTCATGTCTCAAATGTGCAACTATTACAGTAAATATGTATAGCTGCAAAAATTGCATTTAAATCTCCTACAAGCATGTGAATTAATGCTTTCACAGCTTCCATAAGGAAGTTCATGAATTGTGGAAATTGTGGGAAAAATATAAAGAAAATATTTTTGATAAAARTGTTTTTTAAAGGGACACTGTCAATGGCACGCATGTGCGAGTAAACTTGAAAACACTAGGCTAGTGTTTTCAAGTTTATGACTCCAAGTTGGCGCGACATAAATCAGATCGTAAACATATAAACAGATCTAGAATATTCCAAAGTGTGTCAAAAGCACCACAAAATGATCACCTCGAAGGTTATACTTTCAAAGTCCGTTAGAGGTGAGAYTGTTACTGCGCATGTCATCCATTGACAGTGTCCCTTTAGCTATACTTCATATATACTAATTGTCAATGATTACATGCAACAGTGAATCCCTTAAAACAATCACGCAATTAGCTCATGAAGACAAAATTAAATTGCCACACATTACTTGCTAATCTTTTGTACTTTATAACAATTCAAATTAAAACATTGAGACATAAGTTAGTAGAGGGAGTCTCCCTCTACTTATAAACTATATGATTGAGAGTACAAAATAATGATCAAGTTGTAATCTTTATCTAAACACCATGCACACATACCATTTTCAACTCGTGTGAAATCATTTTTGGAAGCACCAAGTAACTTCAATGCATTACATGCATCCTTGAAAAGATCTTGAAATCGTGTCGATGATTCAATCTTCCCATTTTGTGTGTGACAGAGTAAGTCTCTTGTATCTTTCAAATATTTCAAGCCATCAACTAAAGCTGTTTCGTAACTCGGTACAAGTGGAGGTGTGGAGTACAATAGAGTTTTGACAAAGAGAGACAAATCCCATGTTGTTGTGTCACCTGACTTGACTTTGTCTCTTTCATAATAAAGTGGAGTGTACTTTATCAACAAGGCAGCACCATTTTGAAGGCTGTCAGTCCATGGAAGACAACCACTGCAAGAATCCCACTGATAAATGAAAAAGTGACGTAGCTTTACCAGCCCTACCCTGTTAAGGAGTAGAACAAGGCAGCAGTAATTCCTATAAAAACAAAAAACAATGTTTGGTCGAAGAATGCATGATCATCAAAGTTTTGAACTCAACTTTCACGTAAATAAAACTTCATGTTTACCGTTCTTTTTCATCCATGCGTCCTTAAATAAGAAGTTCTTCTAAGGATATTCTATTGGGGAAGAAGTTTTAAATTACTTTACCTTTGACATCAATTATTGAATTAGTGCAGATTGAAAAGCTGTGACAGCCTAGAGTTATTTCAGGAATGTATAGTGTACTTGACACAAGAATGCACGATGAAAAACATAAATGGACAATTAACTAATGAAACGCAAATTTTGTACTTTTTTAACTCRCTCGCTTCGCAAAAGTATTTAGTAAAACGTGCTATAATTTTGATATAACATGCAGTAATTATTGCAGTTTTTGACAGTTTTCAGTATTTAGTAATTTAAAGGCTGGTTTTAAATATACAGCGCATTTTCAAACAGTGATAATTCCAGCTTTCGACTATTTACTCTTTAAAAAACCAGCCTTTAAATTACTAAATACTGAAAACTGTCAAAAACTGCAATCATTACTGCATGTTTTATCAAAATTATAGCACGTTTTACTATAAGGTACAAATTAAGTGTGTATCAATTCATGTTAAAGGCATATTAAGTACCTTTTGTAACCTTGAAATGAAATACATATTAAATACAAGTTAAAAACAGATAAAGTGTTGTGTTATATTACGAATTAAGACAAAATTAGGAAGTGATTAAATATGGTTTAAATATTTGTTAAGTAGCATTTAAGTAGATGTTAAACAGCTAATACAAATGTAGGTTAAATACCATTGGTTAAATACTGATTAATACCATTGTTAAATACATATTAAGAATATGAGTTAAATACAAGATAAGTAGGAGTTAAGTATACGTTATTTTTGCAAGGGACTTTTGCGAAGCGAGCGAGTTAAAAAAGTACAAAATTTGCGTTTCATTAGTTGTAATCCAAACTTTGAGTTTAAATTGTAAAACATGAAACACTTGTGACCATCTAACAATATAAATCAGTTGTTATTTCCCACCAATAAAAAACTCATGTCTCTCGATAATTGACATTCGCCACTTTATCAGACAACCTCTTTTTGATTTCTAGACGGTCACGACGTTTCGAATTGCACTGTAAATTAATTATTACCATAATTCAATACAATTGCCTCGATCAAATTCGGCTAATTGTAACATAATGTRACCACACTTCAAAGTAACCCCAACATATATTTTGTGTGATTGAAGTTCAATCCCTAGAGAGACTTAGATCAAGAAATCAATTTTTTGCACAACTGATCGCAAGACTTAATGATCAGCATAAATTGAAATCGATTTATATAMAAGTCGCAGTMAGCTCCTGATTTCCACACAAAAACACATAAGTTAACTTTGGCTTAAAATTTACGATTTCATTTTATATGATATAAATGAARTCAATCACTCGARAATGCAATAATTTGAAGCTTTATAACACACCTTCAATCCTTCGCCTTCCTCTTCAATAAGACTTCAAAACGGCGGGGGAACCCCCTGCGCATAAATTAACGCTGGAGGATCATGGTCTCGAGAGGGATCTGCATATCATATAAAATGCAGATTATCTATCATTCAGTATCATTGATAAATGATGTAAATCAAAACTCGATACACTAAAGTTTTACTATTGTGTTTACCTAATGCAATGAGTTTGATAATGATAGACGTTATCATGATTACCGTGAGTGATAAAGAATATATCAATATGCATCGGAGCCAAGGGTKACGCATTCGGAAAAATCATCATCACCAAGGACGGGCTTATCAAATCATTTAAGCTTGTCCACATCTCTKGGAGCTTAAAATCTGCGAGCAATCATTTTCCTGGAAATTGGGGATCTGGAAGTTATTCTCGGAATTTCCCGCCGAAAATAGCAATTCACATTACTGACGACCACAATTTCAGAATTACTCCACCAGAAAACTATACATTGGATAGGCCAGATACACGCATGGGCTATGATCTTCCTAGATATAGTTATAACAGTGATGTGTTAGTTTTACATAATATTTCTCCCACTATGATGGTAATGGTGGGAGACGAGTTTAGGATTTGGTACGGAGAAGATTTGAAGAATACGTGGGAAGCTGACAATTCAGGACAGACATGCGCAGAAGTGTACGTCCTGTACACCGAGTTTTTGTAAGAATTGAAAGAAGAGGGCGTTTACGCATGCGCGAACATGCTGATTGGTTGATTGATACCAATTATTATATAGATGATTTCTAACGCGCGCTCTGATTGGCCCATAAAGTGTGGTTTATGAGAGTATAAGCCACGATTGTGCGCGAGCGATTTTTGAAAACGGCAACAAAATGGATTTTTGCTTAAGTTTTGCTCAAAATCTATATAATAAAACAAATAAATAAGTATCAGCATGTGGTTTATACTCTGGTAAACGCACGCTTGGCATTTGAAACACACGAGAAAATGTCAAGAAGCACGAGCTGAAAGCGAGCTGAGCCTTATTTATTTGTTAAATGAACCATTGGAAAGATTGATTAATCGATATCATATGTAAATAAACTGTAACATAATTGCAAAAAATATTCATTTGAAAAACAACAACAACAACAAAACAAAAAAACAAAATCGGGTGTGGAAGGGGAATATTTCAATATTATATTTCAGATAATTACCGTATTCTGCTGTTCTCCAGGGGTGAATATTCCCATTCCTTGATAATATTTCGGAGAATATTCCTTATGATTTTAGTTTTTAAGTTCTAGGTAGCAGTTAAGTTTTAATTTCGTTTAATTCATAAATTTATTAAGCTGGCTGAGTATATTTCCTATTCTCGCTTTTGTGTGTTTTATTGAAATATTCCGTACATTTTACAGGGAATATTCAATATCCCTAGGATTTTGAAGTATGATATTCATTATTCAATATTCCCTCACCCCCGAAACAAAACAAAAAACATCACATTAATTATGATCCTTTAGGCAGTGTGCTATCTCTATAAATGAAAACATATTATAATTTTCTTTAATTTATCCCTTATTATTTTATCTAACTATTTAATTACTTAATGTAAAGTGAAAAAATAAATAAAATAGAAATTTGAAGTAAACTCGAACTAGAATAATCGCCTGTAAATTTACTTAACCTGACCGGGATGCTTTTSATTTGGCGCGCATTTTATCTCGCGTGCGCTTGCGTTGAATCTTGACACATTTTTGCGGAAACTCACACCTCAACAAGCAGTCGTTTTTTTCAAGATTTCGTTTCTTCTAAATACAATAAAATAATATTCATATTTACTATTTAATAACTCCTATCCTCGCCATCATCATCAACATTATCATTATTATTATTATCATCACTATATATATATTGTTTCACACATACAAAGTGTATTTAAAAATGTCAGTACAAATATTATGTCACTGACTTGCCAACATTACCATAAATACGTTTTTAACTCATACATTAATCCTATAGACTAATCTATATACAATTTTCTACATTGTCCATCCATAAAACTATTTTTTTACGTACAAAACTGCAAACATTCTAGCAGCATAATTACATCAAAGATATGTCAATTATGTGATTTAACGTATTCAATGTGCAGTACATAATAATTTGATGGTCGAGGCACATACAATTTTATCATATGGTCAAATATTGTCTTTATTTTAAAAGACTTAAAAGTACTATGTAATGAAGTACACTTAATAAGAATCATGTATTAGTGACATAATTCATGCATGCACCATAGCTGTCAATTAAGGGACCTAATTAGATTGACAATGTGGTAATAATGGTAGTATATATATAGTATTAATATTAAAGCATCTTTTAAGATGTGCTTCTTACACGTCACTGTTTCAGCTTCTCAGGCATTCAGTTTACGCTATTCTAGGTAAACATTTTTTAAATCACTTTGTCAGATAATGCCACATTGTCAAATAAAATCATTGATTAGCCCCCCTAAAAATTAAAAATTATCAATCTTATGTGCGGCATTATAAATAAAGTTTGTATTTGTCAGCTGCTCTGATACTAGCTATTGTACTTCTGTTCCCACCCCCTCCCCCTATCCCCTCCCCCCTCCCCCTAAGGAAAAATTCCTCTCCAAAATTTAGGGGGAGAGGGGTAGGAACTGATGTCGTAGGCGGCTGCTTGAATACATCATATTCAGATCATATTCAGTGTACTGTACATATTCCATACAGGCACTCATGGACACCCACACTTGAAACACCCCTTGACACTTTTAAGATTCTATCTTAGTAAAACAAGAGAAAGCCCTATTAATGATCTGAAACGATGTGCATTGTCTGTTGCAACAATTGCAAAAAGTAAGTCTACAATGCCTAGGATTAATTGCTGCAGTACGTGCTACGGACATAGAAATTTTCTTTTAAAACATCAGTGGAAGACTACAAAAAGACATAATTACAATCTCAAAAAAACTTTTTACAAAATGACAGTATAAAATGATACTAGTTATATACATAATGCATCACTGCATAATAGCTGCCAATCAAGTATACATAAGATCATGCATATAATCAACAATGCATTTAATTGACTGTTTGACAAAATAAAAAAGGGACTGCAGCGTCTGAGCTTCGAAATCTGATTAAACAATTATCTATCCAGAAAAAAAATAATCAATCAAGTTTTATGATGTGTGAGCATATAGAAACAAAATGGGCTTTGAGACCATGCCATAATTATACAAGGAAATGTATGGTCATGTCCAGCAAAAACCATCCAGCCAAATGTACATTCTTTTTGTTTCTACAAAAATCATAATTCTGTTTATCTGGTAAGAATTTAGCTGTCCCAGTACGTTGACCCCTATTCGTTTTGCTATCAGCCAATTTTCTTTTACCATCAAGAGTCTTCAAGGGTGACATTATTAACAATGCTATCACGATAGCAATCCTTTGACTTCTCCACAACATCAACCCTTTTCAGCTTAGCAAGGACATCAACAAATGTAGTWAATGTCAGCTTGGGTTTTTGAGTTTTCAGAGCTTCAAATAAATGATAACCCTTTTCTGGTTGATTATGGTTGTCAATCCCTAGTATGGTTTCTTCATCAAGACCCAGTTCTTGWGCAAGTTCTCGCCATCCAGGTCGTTCAGAATTGGATATTCTGGTTTCAATTGCATAACGCAATTCATGTGATATGGACTTCAGAAGGAGATCTGCAGGCCATGGGTAAGCTGTAATAATTAAAATAAATCACAATGATCATGAACATTAATTGTAATTCACCAATTTCTTATTATTGTTACTTTTTGTTTGTGGTGATGAAAATTGTCAACCCTGATATTATACAGCTGTTGAAAAATATACCCAATATGTTTGAAATATTTTTCATATTATATATTTTTCATCTTTAGAATGACCTTGATGTGATGCTATCAGGCACAGCATGATGACGAATCATTTTTTTTGAGAAAATATACCCAATATATTTGACATTTTTTCATATTTTGCACCTTGATACTGACCTTGATGTGATAGCTCTTGGGATGGGTGTAACTTGCTTCCAGGTACACCATCTAATAGCCTGCTGCTCTCTGCTGGAGATGAGGAAACATTTTTTGAGAAAATATCCCAATAAGTTTGACATTTTTCATATTTAGCAGCCTTCAAGATATACTGACCTTGATGTGGTACTAGTTGTGGGGATGGCTGTGAGCTGCTTCCAGGCACAGCATCTAATAGCCTGCTCTCGACGGCTGGAGATGAGGATGACATCTTTTAGAAAATACCCAATATATTTGCCATTATATTATTTTTCATATTTTGCACCTTTGGTACTGACCTTGAAGTGATAGCTCTTGGGATGGCTGTAACTTGCTTCCAGGCACAACATCCCTACTGATCCTCTCTGCTGGAGATGAGGAATCATTTTTTGAGAAAATATACCCAATAAGTTTGACATTTTTTATATTTAGCAGTCTTTGATACTGACCTTGATGTGTCAGTTGTGGGGATGGCTCTGAACTGCTTCCAGACACAGCATCTAATAGCCTGCTCCCTGCTGGCAGATACAGAGACATTTTTTGAGAAATTACCCAATATGTTTCACATATTTTTCATATTTTGCACCTTGATACGTACTGACCTTGATGTGGTAATACTGGAGATGACTTTGTGCTGCTTTCAAGAACATCTAATAGCATGCTCTTGCTCTCTGCTGGAGATGAACCATCCTGTGAGTTGACTCTCCTTAAACAGTTGCGGATTTTGTTCCTTTTCAGGACAGCTGTTATGAGGAATGCTACAACAATTACCACAAGAATAATGATAACAACAATGCGGGTTACATGGTCATGAGAGCTTTTTGTGGATGCTTGATGTTTGTCCAAACCATTTGTAGTAGGGGTAGTGCTGTCGCTATCTGTTGATATACCCTTTTGGGTTCTTGGCTGAGTTATTGGCTGAGATGTGGGCTGAGTTGTTGGCTGAGTTGTGGGCTGAGTTGTTGGCTGAGTTGCCGCCTGAGTTGTCAGCTGAGTTGTTGACTGAGTTGTTGGCTGAGTTGTAGGCTGAGTTGTTGGCTGAGATATTGACTGAGTTGGTGGCTGAGTTGGCTTCTTCTGACAGACCAACATATCAGGCATATCACTGTTAAAGTCATATCCATCTGCACAAGTATCATGGCTGCATATAGTAGGCTTTGTTATTGTACATTTTTGCAGCACTTTAAAACCATCGCACCCCCCACAAGGGAAACACAAAGCAGAACTATTGGTATCGCTGTAGTTGACCCCCAAGACACATGGTTCACACTTCAACTTTTGTGATGTCTTTATTCTTGATGCACACTCGTAATTCTGTCCGTAGCCCTCAGGGCAACTGAGACAGGCCCTGCAGAAGCATTTTGAAGGTTCATCATCTTTGCAAACTTCTATGTCATTTGGATCTGGGCATAGAGTCTCACTGTATTTACATATGGTTAGTACCAAAAGTGCAGTCCACAATAGTCCCTATGATATAAATCAAAAATCACAAACGATTCACAAATATTTCAATATAGTTAAAACTGATAAATGTAATTTGAGTGATTTTTTCTAAACTGTGAAACAAGCAAACAGGTGGAAATTATTTATATTTTGATATATTACACTGTATGTGTATTCAGCACTGATTAAAATGAATAAGAAGAGCAAGTTGCAATAAATTATAGTGAAAGCTACAATTGTTATTATAGTATGCATTTATACACAGGATTATGAAAACCACTTTCATAGAAATATGGAATGACATCCAAATGAAAATATTGTTTTCATCCAAGAAAGAATATTTGTGCTTATAAAAAAAAATAAAAAAAGAATAAATTAAAAAAGGATATCACTCAAGTTGAACTCTTTCTTTCGTCTTTTTAATGTATTCCTTTTATTATAATTACAATGTTCTATTTCTCCATGACAACGTCAAAGCTATAAAGAGTTTCAGTGGATGAGACAAAAACGCGAAAAAATAGTGCTGATGTCACCGGAAATTTAGCGGTTTCCTTGACAGCATTGACGTCAAAGAATCATATGACCACGGACGTGCTATAAAATTATTTCAAAAACCAACTTTTCCAACTTTTCCAACTTTTTTTTAATGCTCAAACGGTTTAAAATATTTCTTCAAAATCGTCATTATAGATTACTAAGGAAGTATTTTTAAAAGAGTATTGCAAAAAATTAATGAAAACATTTTTACGTCCTAACTGATAATGAATGGAAAGCAGCTGACTGGAGTAGTATAGCAATTGCGTAACTGTATTAGATTACTCGCTAGTGACAACAGTTTTACACATATGAAACTGTGAAAATCATGCATTTTCTTGCATTAAATAAAATTTTCCTTAAAAGGTTTTCATGTTAATTCTATCACGTTTTTATAACAAAATTGCTGACGGCCAAGAATGGAATACGGCTGATGTAACGTTTGACATTACGCACTCAAGCGTTCATTGCGCAATTCGTTGTCGATGGTAAAGCGAGACTAGAATTTGCAGTACTAAGTTGTAATAATAAGTTTTTCTGTTGCCAAAATAGTACAGGGAATAATATGATAGCATTTCTACACGATGATTATACGATTATGTTGAAAATGACATTATTCCAGGCGATTCAACCACGTAGTGGTGGTTATACTTTGGCGTTGTTTCCACTGACGTGTGGCTATAAATACGAATAATCACATCAGAAAATCTAAACATCGTTCATAATATGTGTCAACTTAGATTTATTATAGCATACTACGACCATTGCTTCGATTTACGAATACGTATCGATCTATAGCGTGATCACAAATATTAAATAAAGATGATCTTACCTTAATCGTCGACCACGCACTCATGGCATTGTTTACAACAGCGCTAACCACAGAATTAACAGCGTAGCAGGATGATTTGACAAGGTTTAAGACTTTTTACCCGAAACTACTGAGCGGGCTGCTACTCGCCCAATCTGTTTCTGTCAAACTGAGTAAAACTACTGAATGACTACGTACATCGTGTTTGTTTTTTTAATTAGGGGAATCCCCTGTGTATCACGTGACATTCTAAAATACTTAGGATACTACGCGCGCTGTGATTGGTCGAAAACCATGTTTGATTACAGTATCAAAACACGCTCGCGCGCGTCAAAAATTTCTTTTATTCTTTTAATTTTAGAAAAGAAATAAAAGACGGAATTCCGTGTTTGATACTCTGATCAAAACACTTGGGATGTAGGGAGAGCACTCGAAAAGCTGGAAACCACTCCGCTACGCGTCGTGGTTTCCTACGCTTCTCTCGTGCTCTCCCTACATCCCGCGTGTTTTGATCAGAGTATCAAACACGGAATTTCGTCTTTTATTCCTTAAATAA